GAAAAATATCATCTGTTTGGGCTTAGAACTTTATTTTATAATATAGTTATTGGGCTATGAACTCTTTAAGATTATTGTAGTGTTTAAGCAGTGACAATCTCTGTACTTCCACTTACTTGTCTTTTTAGTATACATATGAAGTGGTAGATTACAAATTTCTTTTTACGTAATATCACCAAATGTCCTAGCTTCTGATAATAATATAGCATTGTATTTCTTTAATTGGACAATTTAATTGTGTGATTATATTTATGTAATAAACTATTAGAATTTAAGTTAGCAGGCAAAATTAAGACACGTTTACATTAATTATTATATCTTATTCCACAATTTAAATGTATTAATATCTCACTATATGTCTTGTCACTATCTATAGAAAATAATTTGAAATAAAAGGATGTCTTTTTACTTTTAATTTGTTCTTAGGAATTATAGGACCCTTCCTTTAATATTGATGTATTAATTAGTAATATCTTGCAATATAAGCACTGATCTTTAACAATATTTTTAATTTTTTACTTTTTAGAATTTATGAATGTTTCATAAATCATTTAATATTTTGCTATCATGCTTTTATGCATAAAATGTTCAAGATGATTTAAAATACGATTTTAGAATGATTTCAATTACATAATTTTTTAAATTAGAATTTACGATGTCCTTCCCTTTATTTTTCAGGTGCTAGAGTAATTTTGGCTTGTCGTGATATTAACAAAGCAGAAGAAGCAGTGAATGATATAAAAGAAAATACTCTAAGGTATTTAAAACCTATGATTGCTTTTACAAGTAAATGTTTAACAATGAAAGTGTATGTACATACAATCCTGGAAAAACCTATTGGAATGAGCTTTCCTGTAATTATACACAGTGGTCTGGAAACCCGCTTTTGTTGCCAAAAATCAATTTTTCAAAAAAAGTTTTTTTGCTATAAAGTAACAACCCTTCAAAGCTTCAAAATCAAAAATATTATTCATTTCAGATAATTCTGTGATCAGATATGGCGTCATGAAGATAAAATCGTAAAGTTGAAAATGAAATTATACGTTCTAATTACTCGTTATAGGATATCAAAATGCAGCTTTATATGACGGTTTTATACATATCAGCAGATGTATTTCAAGTATTTAATCCTATTGTACGCATTTTTGAATTTATGTATAAACAGTGCAAAATTTATAACAATTTAAACTTTGTTTTGAAATTGGTTTTTAAAAAATGGTTAAAAGTAATAGATATGGGTTTTTTCTATATGACAGCTTAGACATTTATAAAGGAGAGAGTGCAAATTTTAAATGCATCGGCTTGCAACTTTTAAATCTATCCGGATCTTAACAAATAGATGACCAAGGTATTGCAATAGTGTTTAGGACGTGAATGCTATACGTTCACACGCAACGCGACGTTTAAGTATCACTTGGTCTGAAAATGTTTTATATTTTTATATATACATTTCGTTGTTTATTGTATTTTAATTATATTAATTACATTAATTATATTTTTATTGAAAAAAAGCTATATAAAATTGTTTTTAATTTTGGCCACAAAAAGTTGCTTTCCAAACCACTGTGGCCATAGTAGGACTAGTGGACATTGTAGTCTCAAGTATTTATAAGAAACTGAATCTCATCACTGAGGGATATATGTTAAATAGTATTTTCAGATCTAATTAATAGTTTCTCTAAGCCACTGATAGTACCATAATTAACTACTTTGTGTAGACGTGGATGTTTGGAGTCTGAACTCCCATGTTGGCGTTCTTACTTTTTACTTTTTTACTTTTTAAAAATTTTTGTTATATACAGTGTGTTCCAGCTAATTTGATCACCTCGAATATCTACTAAACGGTACACTTTATGAAAATTGTAAGACATGCAATTTAAATGGTGTCGAGAGGCACATCTCATAAGGTACGTGCTGTTTCTGTGAATGGAGGCGTTTCGAAGATTTCAAGGTTACCTTGATTTTTTTAAATGAAATGACCTATTTTTTGCATCGTAAATCGATAGAGTATTAAATTCTGAATAAAAATATATTGACCTTGATATGTCCTAAATCTAATAGTTAACGAGATATTAACGAAATAATTTTCAATATATACTTACTACCTGGAAGCTAAAGTAGGTGCTCGAACTGATATTCCTCACCTTCAATACAATGTGTTCACGTGTTAATGTTTATCAACAGAAATGTTCTCAGTTTATTGCGTATTACAATCGCTTTCGTAATGTCTATGGTTCAGTATTGTAGAAGATATCTTCGATGTGCGTTCACGATTGTTGGAAAAGGATAATTTAAAATGAAATACAGTAATAATGAGTGTGTAGATATGCTGAAAAATATCCTCAGCGTTATCAACCATCTCGATGTGTGTTTGAGAGACTTTGTTAATGTTTTCGAAAAACTGGTGCTTTCCATGTCATTAAACGTAACCGTACCAAACCCGTTGTTAATAAAGATAATACTACTGCTATTGTAGCAGTGGTAACACAAAATCCATGTGTCGGTACGCGACAATTTACACGTAGTTCTGGAATTAGTTCAACTAGTGTACATCGAATTCTCCAAACTGGAAAGTTTCATCCATATCATCTGCAACTTCATCGGGAGATATATGGAACATGTAACTTTGAAAACCGTGTTCAATTTTGTCAGAACAACAAATAGACAGAAATGATTCTTTTCTACAAAATCTTTTATTTACGGATGAAGGGACGTTTACAAATCATGATCATGTTAATTTAAAAAACATACATTATTGGTCACAAAGCAACCCTCACTGGATTAGAGAAGTTCATCATCAACGACAATGGAGTCAATGGAGCACCTACTTTAGCTTTCAGGTAGCAAGTACGTATTAAAAATTATTTCGTTAATATACCGTTAACTATTATGTTTAGGACATATGAAGGTCAATACATTTTTATTCAGAATTTGATACTCTACCGATTTACGATGTAAAAATTAGGTCATTCCATTAAAAAAAATTAAGGTGACCTTGAAATCTCCAAAACGCCTCCACCTACACAAAAGCACGTACCTTGTGAGATGTACTCCTCGGCACCATTTAAATTCCACGTCTTACAATATTCATAAAGTGTACCGCTTAATAGTTATTAGAGGTGATCAAGTTAGCTGGGACACCCTGTATATTACTATATGTAGAAGTAATTTAAATGTGTTTGTACATTGAAGCTCGGTGTAGACGAGCGATGCGATGTTGAGATTTCGCAGTGGTGACGCTGTGTGTTTTTTTAGGTTTCTTTGCAAATTTATTGTAGAAATTTAGAAACAGTTATTAACATACACAATAACAGATCACAAACAGCCCCGATAAATCGAGGCCCAATGGATAATCATAATAATTAAGTAAAAACGTATTTTCTATACCAAAAGAAGCTTTTTATTTATAGAAGTTTTATTTCCTTTTATAAGGAAATTTAAGGAATTTCGTGTCACCGAAAAGTCCAAGTCCAATAATGAATAATCTTATGTACAATGTGTAAAAAGGTCATGGTCATGGCTTTAGGGGATGAATCTGTACCTCTGGATCGGTGGACATTTAATAAATGTCATTGAATGAAAATTAATGTTAAATTTTTTTTTTTACATCAACGTATTCTGCTCGACAAGAAGAGAAAAAGTTTGAAAAGATCCATATGCCATAAACAAATAGTTTTCGAGATAAACGTTGATAATCTTTTACCACGATTTGATTGTGTAGAGTTATACCTGTAGATTAGGACCTACGACCGCATAGGACCTAGTCGCGCAGAACAAACCGCGTACACAAACGACTTCACTTGATTCAGTCCTGCCTTCGAATCAGTGCATTCTTTGTGTCCTTCAAACCTCCCTCAAACCGAAGTTCCTTTATAAGTGGTATTTTTGAAGACGATAGAAATATTACCCTATTTAAATAATTCTCATTGGGAAATGATATTCGTATTAAGGATCCTTCGGGATTTAGGAACATAAAGAAACTGAAAATTAAGTACATAATAGGAAATGATCAAAAAGTTGCCCTTTGCAAGCCACAACCTTCTGCCAGCGATTCTCCTACTTAAAGTCAATTTTCGGAATGGTCAAAAGTTGCCGCGTCGTATTTCGTTTTATGTTCTCTGCGTCCTCAAATTTTTTTCCTTTTAGAGGATTTTTCAATTTGGGGAACAGCCAGAAGTTACAGAGATCCAGACCCGGACTGTACGGACTGCGTGATGTCGTGTTTCATCAGAAATTTCTGGATATGGTGTGATGAATGGGCGGGTGCGTTGTCATGGTAAAGCATTCAGTCACCATTTTTCCACAACTTAGACCGTTCCTTTCTTACTGACTCATGTAATCGCTTTAGAACTTCCAGATAATATTCCTTGTTCACCGTTTGACCTTCTGGAGCATACTCATGCTGAACAGTACCTTTCAGGTCAAAGAAAAGTGTGAGCATTATCTTGACTTTGCTTCGACTCTGACGCGATTTCTTCGGTCGTGGCTCTTCACGCGTCTTTCACTGCGAAGATTGGACTTTTTTCTCAGTGTCATAGCCAAAGACCCATGGATTCATCGCCGGTAGTGACGTTTTTGAACATATCAGGGATTTTTCTAATTGTTTCCAAGTTATCCTGGGCGACCTCTACTCGATAATCCTTTTGATGTTCCGTCAGCAGCCGCGGAATGAATTTTGCTGCCATGTGTTTCAAGGCCAAAACGCTTAAAAACTCATTAAGTGTTAAGCGTTTCTCCTGATCGTAAAGTTAAATACGTGTTAGGAAAATAAAATGTTAGAATCCTCAAAAATAGCAAATTAGTCGACCGTATCATAAACTTAGGGCAATCTGTTGCTCGAACATACTGATTGGTATTGATTCTTGATATTTTCCTTGTATGGTTTAGACGACTTATTTTTATCATTTTATGGGTCATTTCCAAAACCTCATTTGATAATACTCCAATAGGGAGATCAAATATTGAAATTATATCAGTCCTATGTATAGGGTGTAAAAAAATTAATGGTCACGGCTTCAGGGGGTGAATCTACACCCTTGGATCGGTGGACATTTATAAAAAAAATTTCCGCAAAATTGTTTATAACATTGAAAATTAATGTTAAATTTTTTTTTTACATCAACGTATTCTGCTCGACGAGAAGAGAAAAAGTCTGAAAGGAGTCATATGCCGCAAACAAATAGTTTCCGAGATAAACGTTGATAAAGTTTGGCAACGATTTGATTGTGTAGAGCTATACGTATAGGACCTACTGATCTACAGTCTACTAACACTCTGCCATTTGGTAGGATCTAGCCGTGTAGGACACGCTCGGTATATTGGTGTGCGTTCCCCCACACGAACGCCGTTTAAAGGGACAGCAAGGTCTAACTCGAAGGCCAGGCCCGAACCAAGCGGCGTTTAAACGGCGTTCGTATGGGGGAACGCACGCCAATATACCGAGCGTGTCCTACACGGCTAGATCGTACCAAATGGCAGTGGTAATAGGTCCTAGCCTATACGTATAGCTCTACACAAACAAAAAGCGGGCAAACTTTATCAACGTTTATCTCGGAAACTATTTGTTTACGGCATATGGCTCCTTTCAGACTTTTTCTCTTCTCGTCGAGCAGAATACGTTGATGTAAAAAAAAATTTAACATTAATTTTCAATGTTATAAACAATTGTGTGGAAACTTTTTTTTACAAATGTCCACCGATCCAAGGGTGTAGATTCACCCCCTGAAGCTGCGACCATTAATTTTTTTACACCCTGTACAAGTAGTTTGTGAACGGCACTAGACATACAGGGTGCCCCGTAACTCCTCGAACACACGGAAATGGGGGATTGCTGGGGTGACTCTGAACAACTGTTTCCTTTACCAAAATGTTGGTTGAAGCTTCGTTTTTGAATTATTAATGAAAAACACTGGCTAATCAGAGCGCGCGTACAGCCCGCGCTCAACCACGAGAGCGCTGACTCTCATCCGCGCGCGATCGTGAACAAACGCACTGGCACAGTGTGGGTAAAATTTACTCGTAAGCTATTTGTTGTATCAAAAAAATTTTGAAACAAAAGTTGTTTGATATCAAGCGGGACATACAATGTAGTAATTAGTTTTTTGATAGTCCGCTTTTTTATCGAGGTTCGAAAGAGTACTGAATGATGAGTAAAAAATTATAAGCTATATGGAGTCAAAAACTAGTAATTAGGGGAAGTGCTGATAGCCTCGGACAGCAGGTAACCGCTATAATCGAAATATTCAACTGCATAAAGAAACAATTGCGACACATTGCCACCTGTCGTCCTAGCTTCGAACACATTTTTCAGTTAGTTTTAGATCGATTGGCAAGCGATACTGATATTACACTTAATTTTGTGACGATTGAAAGCGATATTTCTGTTCCAATCAAATTTTATCAAATCTTATTCTGAACTAAATGTAAATATTCCTTTATGTTTTGACAATTAAATGTAGTTTAAGATCCTTGAGTTTAACAAATTTTTTTTTTCGATATTGTAAAAATGGTTAATAAAAATATTGGATTACGTCCATTGGGTAGCCCCGGTAACTTATATGGCGGGTATCCCCGGTCACTTTTATCTATTGCAAATTTGAAAATCGTACATTTTCCTATTATGATAATTTGTCCACTTATATCTTTCGAAGATTCTGTATAATATAAGTTTTATTTTAAAAAAAAGGTAAATAAGGTAAAAAGGTAAAAGCAATAAAGGTAAATGGGATAAAAATAACATGAAAAACGCAATTGTTTATGTTAGGAACGGTGAATTATCTTATAAAAATATAACGTGCCACATGTAGTTTTCTACAAGGTTGCGTAAAGGCTGTAAAAAGCGGTCAAGAAATAATTCTTAAGCCGAAATTAGGTCGCTTTGACTTAACTTTTAACGAGGAATTTTCATGGTAACTTTATAATCACGTGAAACAATTGGACAATCGCATAATGCCATTGACTAGAACAAAGTTTTTAAAAATAGTTTTTGATTTGGCAGAACGTCTTAATATTCCTCATAGATTCAACAAGGAAGAAAGAGTAGTATTAAGACACTAGTTTGTGAAGTAACTTTCGAGGAAAACTCATGTTAGGTTTTCTGTAGAAGTGGTATATGGCACGATCGACCGGGAACGGTTATTTTTGAGTTCAGGATTTTCGTTTACTGCTTGCACGTGTCTGATTACATCCTGGCGAGAGTCACTAGAATTGCTTTGTCAGATTTTTTGTAATTTGTGTCCCTCGCGCTCAATAGCCTACGAACATACTATAAACCACGAATTTCCGAACGGCACATCTGTATGTAACGGTCCGCTGGCCGATTACAGCAAATTCTCTACAAGTGTCAGTAAGTTTTGATTCTACAAGTGACAGTATAGATGGTCCTACGCCTAGGCTGCGTCATTGCTGCGTCCATGTTATCTCGCTCGCAGTCAGTCAAGCGTGTAACGCTACACCAGTCGGTTTTTTTAACATGTTGGTGAGATTTTTCTGATGAAAATGATATCAAACACGATATAATTTGAACAACATTTACTTATTAACACGTTCACTGTCACGTCAGATTTGCAGGTTGCTGTCAGGCGGCCACAAGAAAATACATTTTAAGCATAGGATTATAGTATTATGCTTTATAATTTTTTTTTTTCAATTGAAAATAATGTCTAGCTTGCTATGATGTTCAAAATTTTTAGTTGACAACATTTATTTTATTTTAATTATTCTAAACATTTGAGGCACTCCAGTCACTGATGACCACCATGGCCATATCGAGGAAACAATCTAATGTTAATACTTATTGAGTGATTAATTTAATTTCATAATATATCGCTTTGGATGAATTACAAAAACAAATTGCTAAAAAATTACATTAAATACCTGTACACATTATCCGTCGAATGTAGAGGGAGAGTCACCGTTTGGTTGCCAATTGTCTATCGCATAGAGTCGGCCTACCTCCATGTAAAAAAAAAAAAAAAATGTAGGGTCGATTCCACAAGTGTCAGTAAAATGTAGGGTCGATTCCACAAGTGTCAGTAAGATTATTTAACAGAGAAGTGAATAAAATAAATAAAAAAATTACTGTCGGGGGCTACCCGTCATTTTTTGAATCCTTAAAATTAACGGCCAAAATTCACTGATTTTTTTCTTAAAGTCATATGAGAGATATACTCAAATTTTAGAATTACAGTAAAAGAAGAAGGTCTAAAGTTCATTTTTTGAAAGCTTAGTTTGATTAAATACCTTCTGTTAGTATATTTTTATACTGTTTCATTTAAGTGTCTGGAGCTACCTACTCTTCCCCTACTGAGATATTCTTCAATGAAAGGTGATGGAAAGTTTGTGCATGGAATTGACAATAAAATAATTGGATCGTATTTTATTGAGGGATCATTGACAGGACACAAATATTCCATCTTCTTGTCTGAAATACTACCATCCTTACTATCAGATTTACCGTTACAAACAATTTCAACAATGTGGTATCAGCACGACGGTTGTCCTGCACATTATGCACAACAAGCATGTCAAGTGGAGGACAAACTCCATGGCCAGTTCGGTCTTCGGATTTGACGCCACTTGATTACTTTCTTTGGGGACATTTAAAAAATGAGGTTTATTGCGAACCACCTACAATACCTGAAGACAGGAAGGATCATGTAATGGTATAACTTCCGAAACACTTGAACGTGTGTCACTCGCTCTCATTGATCGCCTACGCATTTGTATTCGATGAAATGGGCAGCATTTTGAGCATTGCTTACATTACAATTTAATTAAGGAATATCTCGGTAAATATTAGTTTTTGACCCCATATACCTTATAGTTTTTTAATCATCATTCAGTACTCTTTCGAACCACAGGGTCAAATATCATGATATAAAAATCGAAGGTGACCTTCAAATCTTGATAAAAAAACGGACTATCCAGAAACTAATTACTACATTGTATGCCCCGCTTGATACTAAACAACTTTTGTTTCAAAATTTTTTTGATACAATAAATAGTTTACGAGTAAATTTAGGTGGCATAGTTAAAGAACTCATCCTGTATACAACCGGAAGCCTTTAGTGAGGACTAATTCGCGGTTGTCCGTCCCTCTGGTGACAGAGCGTAGGTGTCGCACAGTGGTGCTATGTCACGAAAAACTGGCCATAATTCATAAGTTCCTTCGATTTTCATAAAAATTGGTAGTCTTATGTTTCTGGAATTGCTGAATTCAAATATCTTATCAAAAATGCAAAATTCAAAGTAAAGGGTCTAATATCACTGGTGTAAACGTTGTTTTTAACTTAATTTTTGTGAAACTTGATTATTTTCCGATTTACCTTTACATATGTAGCGACCAGCTACAGCGGAGAACATTTGGCGAGCAGACTACCAGCACGGTTTATGACG